GAGCAGGGGGTTGGACTAGATGACTTCCTGAGTTCCCTTCCAACCCTGATATTCTATTATTCTAACACCCACGAGGTACCTGAGCTAACCTTCCCCCTCCCAACTTTGCTGGGATCTGCAGACACAGGCACCAACATCTCAGCCCCAACAGCAAGAAACCGGCCCAGCCCAAGCCCAGGGAGCCAGCTCCTGCCAAGCTCCGAGGCCCCCAGTCCATCGTGCAGAGCAGCACGGAGGCAGCAGTCTGCCCTGAGGCCCCTGTGAGTGCTAGGAGGTCTCTGCCAGAGACGGAGAAGCTGGGTGAGTGGTGCTAGAGCCCTGCTGTGACGTGGGATGGAGAAGAGCAGAGCTGGCACCTTCTGTGCCACTGGACAGCATGTCATACACATCTGCACACCCGGCATGGACTGGCATAGCTGAGCCCTGCCTCACTCCCAGCCTGGAGTAGGAGAAACATCTGCGGGGACCCACAAAGGGGCAGCAACCACCAGGCCACTCCTGGCAGTGCCTGGACCAGGACCCAGATTTAGGTTCCCAGGTTTGGAAAGTTCAGTGAGAGTTTTAAACCGTGACAAAGATCTCGCTACCTCAGCCAGAAGGGACCTTTCTCACCTAGTCTGATCCCCAGCAGAGCCCAGGCTGCAGACCCCACCCAGGGACTCCTGCATGGACCCAGAACTGCCGGCTGAGGGATGGGGCTCTCACACACATCCCACCTCTGGGTGATGGCGAAACCAGCTCTTCCCCGGGGAAGTTGTTCCAATGCCAATCCTCCTCCCTGGCAAATATCTGTGCCTCATTGCCAATCTGACGCTATCTCAGTTCAGGTCCCAGCTGCTGGAATTCGTTCTGCCTTTGACGGCTAGGTTAGCGAGCCCGGCCAGCTGCCTACTTGCCCATGGAACCCACCAGGCTAAACTGGAACTGAACGTCTAGTGCAAGAAGTGAGCGAGAGAGCGTGCGTCTGTCTGTCTCCAACTCTCCCAGCGCTTCTGTATCCCCCAATGAGCAGGAGTAAAGGGCACAAGTCCAGTGCCTTTCCCTGGGCTCCAAAGCGAAGCGCTCCGGCAGTGCACTGGCTCAGGAGGCAGTGGCTTGGGGGGGTGACTCACTTGGACCCACTGCTGCACACTGGTCCATCCAGTGCCCAGAAGCCCCAGCCTCGAACCTGCACCCTGGCCTCTCAGATGGCGCAACAGGACTATAATGATCTGCCAACAAGGGAATTGTTTTTAAAAGCCAGGGGCCCACAGCTTTGACCCCCAGACATGTGTTCCCTCTGCTGGCCACACAGCAGGGACCACACTCCCCCCTCTGCCGAAGGTGGACTACCTCAGCACAGGATGGGGAGGGGGCAGAAGGAGAGGGGGAGGTGTCTCTACCAACTGCCAACACTCACCCACCCACCCAATGTCTGACCCCTGCCCTCTTCACTAGCCACCTCCTCCCCAGTTGCATTTAGTGCCTCTGGTTGCCCCCACTCTTTTACTATTGGCTCCCCCACCCCAAAGGGCTCAGCCCCTCTGTCCAGCTTGTAACCAAGTCTTGGGGCTTTTCTCTCCCACATCCTTCCCACTCGATAAACCTCTGGGTCCCTCTCAGCTACCACAGCCTCCCTTCCCCTCGGCCACCCCCAGTCTCACCTCAGCTCTGCTCCAGTTCAGTCTAACCCCGGCTGCAGACCAGCTTCTTCTGCATCCAGCTTGCTTTTCGGGCTCTGCACAAATACAGCCCAGCTCCAGGCCCCTCCCACCCTCTCTATTCCCTGCCCACGCTCTTTAATCTCCTTCACCCACTCCTGACTTCATGGCACCTGCACTGAATGCCGCACCACTGCCCCACCCAGGCCACAGGGGTCCTGGCACGGTGCAGCGTAGTGTACAGCACTAGCTCCTCTGGGCAGGGCTTGCCTCACTGTACACCACTTGCCTCACTGTACAGCACCATCCATGCCTGCCTTGGCCCCCGGCTCCTCCTCCATTGGGGGGGGTGTGTGATCTCCCTCAAATCTGCCCCCTGTGCCCGTCATATCCAGGTCCAGGAGGAAGAGAACACACATAGTGTCACATGCCAGGGCCATGTCTGTCCAGCCATGACCAGGGGTTGAACCAAGAGCTGAACCCATGAGCTCACCGACAGCCGGGGACAGGCCCGTTCAGCTGAAAGCTCACTCTGTGGCTGGCCCTACAGAGCATGAGCCCCCCAGCTCAGATCAGGGCTCAGGCCTGAGGCAGAGGCTCTCCCCGCAGTGGGACTTGGCTGGGGCAGCCACAATGTAGCCCCTGGAATCCAGTTGGGGTCACAGGACCTAGAGGCAGAAGGGACCTCTTGGGGCATCGAGTCCAGGCCCTGCTACGGCAGGCAACCCCGTCACCTGGTCCCTTCTCTGCAAGATGCCCCAGAGGGCAGGGCTGGGGGACAGCCTGTCCGATCCAGCCACGAGGCTCCTGGGGACACAGTGCACTCTAGGTCCAGTTTGCTGCCTCCAGAGTCTGCCTGAGCCAAGGCCTGGATTAGGCGTAGCCCAGACAAGGCGGTGGTGACACTAGCAGGACGTGGGTGTAACTGGGGGAGATGGCACTCCAACCAGGGAGCACTTCTTCATGGGCTACGCAGGCCTGTGGCTGGGGGCAGCCTCCCCGGGCACCTGGGTCCCAGCTGCAGCCTTGAACTCCAGGGGTCGGTGCTGTCTCTAGAAACTGGAAAGGGGCTGCCAGTGGCCCAGTCTCCACCATGACCAAGCCTCCCAAAGCAACTGCAGCTCCACCCTTCACACCCTTCCAAACCTGCCCCCTGTATTCCCAGTTCCTAGGGTCAGCTGTCCCAGTAATGCCCCCAGCTACAGCTCCAACCTCAGTCCTCTCTGATCCTGCACCCCATAGCCCCAGCCCCTTCTGAATCTGCCCTCTATAACCCCAGTACTAGAACTACAGCTCCGACCCGCAGCCCTCTCTGATTCTGACCCCCATAACCCCAGCCACACAGTTACAGCTCCGACCCCCAGCCCCTTGTGAACCTGCCCCCCATAACCCCAGCTACAGCTCCAACTCCCAGCCCTCTCTGATCCTGCACCCCATAGCCTGAGCCCCCAGTTACAGCTCCGACCCCCAGCCCCTTGTGAACCTGCCCCCCATAACCCCAGCTACAGCTCCAACCCCCAGCCCTCTCTGATCCTGCACCCCATAGCCTGAGCCCCCAGCTACAGCTCCGACCCCAGCCCCTTGTGAACCTGCTCCGCCCTCTGACCCAGCCCCGGCCCTACCTACCTACCTGAGCTCTCAGCCCAGCCAGCCCGTTCCCTGCCGGCTCAAGCGCAGGCTCCGCCCTCATCCCGCTCAATGATTGGCCAGCCGACTCTCAGAGCGGTCGGTGGGCGCAGGAGTTCTCTGCGGCTGGGAGCCAATGAGAACGGGGGTGGGCGGGATCAGCGCACTCAGCCCCGCCCCCTGGTTGGGGACGCACGTGGGGAGCGCTCACGGCGCGGGGGGGAAGTGGAGGGCGCGATGGCCATTGGCCAAACACAGGCCGCGCATGCTGGGCCTGGGCCTCCCGGCCTAATGAGTCACGTGGCTCAAGGGCAGGCCTTGGGCCTGCTGGGTGGAGTTCAGCACCCCCCTCTGCCCAGCTGCTGGGGGGCTGGGGGGCTCCCCCCGCAGGGCCCATGTCTCAGTGATGCAGCACCCAGCACCACTGGGGCTGCCTGCTGCAGCCATATACCACGAGCAATGACTGGGGGGCTCTCGCCCAGCCGGGGGTGGGGGGCTGGCAGCCAGGACGCCCAGCTCTGGCCCCAGCTCTGCTGCTGGCTGACTGCACACTTGGGCCAGCTCCCTGCTTGATGTCTCAGCTGCGCTGCGGGACAGGACTAGGGGGACCAGGCAGCTGGTTTTTGAATGGCACCTGCAGTCGAAAAGGACCCTGACAGCAGAGCGAAGGCAGGCTAGTCCCTACCTGTCCTGACTCCATGTGCTGCCCCCCCGGGAGCTGCGGGGGCAGTGCCTGCGGGCGAGAGCAGTGCAGAGTTGCCTGCTGTGCCTCCGCCTAGGACCCAGACCTGCTGACCACGGCCAGGGCGCAGCGCGGAGTCAGGACAGGTAGGAAGCCTGCCTTAATGCCCCCGCTGTGCCGCTGATTGGGAGCCACTGGAGGTAAGCCCGTGCCCCAACCCCAAGCCCCCCCCCAACACAGAGCTCCCTTCTGTACGCCAAACCCCTCATCCCTCACCCCTGCCCCACACTCCAACTCCTTGCCCCAGCCCACACCCTGAACCCCTCTGCCCCAGCCTGGAGCCCCCTCCTGCACCCCAAACCCCTCATTCAGAGCCCCACTCCCAGTTAGAGCCCTCCCCCCACCCCAGCCCAGTGAGGGTTGGGGAGAGGGAATGTAGCAAGTGGGGGTCAGGGGCTCAGGGAAGGTGGGCATGGCCTTGGGGAAGGGGCAGGGCTAGGGTGTTCAGTTTTGTGCGATTAGAAAGTTGGCAACCCTAGACTAGGGGGCCCCGGGCTAGCCAGGCAGACTGCTAGCTTGCAAGACTCGGGGAGAAGAGGTGGGGATCCCATTTCCTGGGTAACTGAGCTGTGGTGTTTCTAACTCAAGGGCTAGGCAGGCAGATGGGTAACACCAGCCAGCATGGGCAAGGTCCTAGGGAGCCTGAGGGTCTGTGTTTCCAGCAGCATGGATTCACCTGCATTCATCACAGCGCAGACCTAGCTGTACTGCAAGGGTGGGCGCGGGGCTGTCAGAACACAGGGGCTGCTGGACTGGATTGGAGTTGAGGTCCATTTACCCCAGGATCCTCGCGTTGGCAGGGCCCAGCACCGGCTGCTGCAGAGGCAGGTGTCTGAGCCCTGCAGCAACAGCTGGGGGATAATCTACCCCTATGAAGATCTTGTGTCATAAACTCAGCAGCAGGAGGTTTTCTTTCTTCTTTCCCAAACTGTCAGCAGAGCTGTTAACTCCGGCTACTCCCGTTATCCATACACACGTCCAGTCTGTCAGGGAATGGTGTGACATTCTCGACCTCAACCCCATTGCACGGCCGGCAGATCACACGCTGAATGAAAACTGATCTTGTATCTGTTCCGAATGAGCTGCCTTCCTCTTGCGTTGAACATTCCCTTGGGTGTGTGTTGGGGGGAGTAGCCAGTGCTCAGTCCCTGGAACACAGTGGGAGCCCAATACATTCCATGGGACTGGGTTAATGCTTTTCTCCCCGCTTGGGCTCCAGGAGGCCTGGTATTGATTGTGATCACTGCAGGGCCCAGGTCACAGGCAGACAGGGGGAGTAAGCTAAGAGCAGTCCATGGGGGAGCAGGGCTTGTGTGTCTGGGTCTGGACAGTGGGGATCTAAGGCAGATCACACGGGCCCTGAGACAGTGAGGAGATCCCGGCTCAGCTGCTCTGGGTGGAACCTTCAACTCCCATCTCAGGACTCCCTTGCACAGCCAATGATTCTATCTAGCCCCTGCCCACCTGGCTTGGCCAGAACATCTTTTTGGGTTAGGGAAAGGACCAGTGGCGACTTCCCAGCTCCCAGCACAAGGAGGGACTCTGGTACTGGGCTCTCTGTCCCCAGGAAAAGGAGCATCCCAGCACTAGGGGCCATTTCATCCCAGCCACGGTGCCCAAATGAAATAGATCTCTGCTCATCCCTCCAGCACCTCTGCCACTTTGTAACCTCCCTAGAGCCATCTCACTCCTAGGGGCAGAAGCATTGGTGCTGGAAGTAGGGATGCTGCCAAGCCTCTGACTTGAAGTGGTTCCCATCATATACAGGGTTTACAGTTCGGTTCAATGGCTCTCAGCACCCCCTGTATACCAATTGTTCCAGCACCTCGGGGCAGAAGTTATTGTACTTGGTTAAAAAAACAAAAAGTGCAATCAGAACCCCTTTTTATAAACTTTATTTTTATGAGATGAGAAAAACTAAAAGAGAAGTTGGAAATATCTTCTGTTGGGGTTCCCAGACCTGAAGAAGAGCTCTGTGTGGCTTGAAAGTTTGTCTCTCTCACCAACAGAAGTTGGTCCAATACATGATATTACCTCACCCACCTTGTCTCTCTAATATCCTGGGATCAACACAGCTACAACCAAACTGCGTACGAAAAACAAGATACGTATTTATGCACTTGTTCAGTATAAGAAATATTCAAGCATTCAAATAATTCAAAGATTCAGAACTATAGATCTTAACATGAAAGTGCTGGTCATGAAAATAACATATGTAACAAACACTGGTCATAAAACGAAACCTGACATTTTCTTGGATAATGGTGTCTGAGTTTTTCCACAAAGACATCCAGGGTCAGTTCTGAAGTAAAAGCATTTTCATATGACAGGACAATTAGGCTTCCCTTTCTGTCATGGGTCATGCTCATCCTTTGGTGTGATACCATTAGTTTAAAAAAAGAAAAGGAAACGTTACAAGCCACAGCTGATGCTCCAAACAACAAGACTACTACAGACATTTTTAAAATGCCATGGGAAAGCCTCCTTTAATTCCTTGGCAACAGCCCAAACTTCTTC